TTTCCCCATATTCAGGCTGTGGCACTGCCAAGCCCCTCCCCCATTCTCCATCAACCCCTTAAACCCCAAAGAAACATAATCAATCATAACCAACATTAACAGAGACCTTATTGTGTGCCAGGGTCTACTGCAAAGACTTATGCTTTATCTCGTATAATCCCCACCACACTATTACCGATCCCATTTTACAAATGGGGGGACTGAGGCTCAGAGAGGTTCGGTGATGTTCGCCAGTCACATACTATGTAGCAGCTCCAGGGTTCAAACCCCATACCTGTGCCTCTAACCACTATGGAATACAATGGAATACAACCGTCTTACCTAAATGTAAACAACGCACTTGCCATGCAGACAGGGCTTCAAGGCCAGCCCCCCTTAAATTCTCGCTAAATAAGAATTCTGGAGCGAGCACTGCACTCAAGCTGGCCTTGGCTTCTGAGCTTTGGCTTCTGAAGGGCAGGGATCGCAGTCCCATCCCAGGATCCTGAAAAGAGTGTGCCCTTGGCTTCTTGCCCGGGCCACTGGCCAGGGCCTTGGGTTACCACCCCTAGCTCTAGGCCTAACGGCATCATCCTGTCCAGTGAGGCCGCAGAGGGATCATAGGCTCCCAGGCCTAGGAGTTTCCAGGGCTGGGATCAGCCTCCACCCCCAGGAAGGCCAAGAGGCCAGAGGCGGGACCTACTGGGTGTTAAATACTTCTGTCCAGCAGTCCTCCCGCCTCTTGTCCAGTCTTCCAGGCAGGAAGTTTGACCAAGATCAACATGGTAAGTACCTGGGGCTATGGCAGTTTGCGGGGAGTGGGGGATGGGGGGGGGAGGTTGGAGGGTACAATCTACAGTGACACTTCCTGAAACACCTTGTGTCTGAGCTTCTAAGTCTTACGGTCTTTTCTTTCTCCTTAGACGAGTTACAGCAACAAAGGAGAGAAGGTAAGCAGGAGGAGAAACGTTGGGTAAAAGCCCCGCAAGACTGGGATATCAGCAAAACTCAGAAGATGACTAAGTGCAGTGGGCTTGTGATTCCAGGATGTGCACTCAAGTTCCTCTCCGGGTCCCCCAGACTGAGCTGCACTCAACCTCACCCTCCTAAGAAAAATGTTTACCTCTTAAATTCCTGCCAGTCTCTTAATTCTGTCAGGAAGTTCTTCCTAAGGTCCAACTGAAATCCGTGTTGCTGTAACACATGGCTGCTTCCCTCTGTGAAAGCTGGGAAGGCCTCCTGAGGGGACTTCNTGAATCCCCTGCTGTCAGGGGTCCCCAAGCCCACCCCCAGGTTTGATGATGTGCTAGGAGGACTCACAAAACCCAGCGTATCGTCTTACTCACAGCTAAGATGTATTACAGCAAAAGAACACAGAGCAACATCGGCCCAGGGAAAGGGGGCATGGAGGTAAGTCCACAGAAAGCCAGGTGCCCACTGCCGAGGGTCTACTCCTAGTGGCGTCACACAGCGTGCACTTAATTCCTCCAGCAAGGGGCTGTGAACTATCTACCAGGGAAGTGTGCCTGAGCCTAAGAGTCCAGGGTTTTCACTGGAGGCGGTCACAGAGGTGCCCACTGCAGAGCAGGTACCAGAACCCTAGGCTCCCAGGAGGAAAGCAGGTGCTCAGACCAAGCACAGAGGTTGTGGGCCGCGTGAGCCACAACCTCCCTGAAATCCAAGTTCCCCGATGCCAACCCAGGCTCACCCTCGCAAGCAGCCTCAGGCCTGCTGTGTTCTGTTTCCTCTTTCTGCACCCCAGGGCACGGTGGAGGATGAGCTACACAAGCCCAGCTCCCAGCTCAGATTGAGCACAGAGTGATAATTCAAAGAGCAGAGACAGCCACACATAGCCACTGCCAACCTGCTATGCAGCTGGGCCCAGCCTGAGAGGGAGCATGGGAAACAGAACATGGGGGCCCCGTGGGTTCCCCCTCCCCAGTCTCTAGGTACCTAGGGATGTGTCCACCGTGTGACAGAGACCCACTGTTTCTGGAAGCAAAGCCCAGAGGGTAGGAGGGACAAGGCCACCAGCCCTGCCCAGCTGAACTGGACACCTGACTTGGGCTCTGCAAGGCTGCTGATGACACGCTTCCTTGATTCAGTAAACATTGAACTTGTGCCTAGGACACTGACAGGCCAGGCTCCAGGAGTGAGGGGCTGAGTGGGCCACTGTGAGTAAGAGGACAGATGTTTCTCCTTCTCTGGGAGGGCAGGAGGGCTGTACTGAGCCTTTCCTCTCGGGGGAACTTTCTGGCCTGCGAGAGCTCCACTCTGGGCTACCTCCACTCTAGGTTAGAAGCCTAGACCCAGGGGGCCCAGGTAGACATTGAGGGCAGGCTGGCGAGGCACCCCAGGAGGGGCAGGATAAAGAGGTGGGATTGCCTCGCTTGCTTCCAGAAAGGGAGGGAGAAGATGTCTGGACGGGTGGAATGGAATCCAACTTCAGAAGCAAATAGGCTGCAGTTTAGCTCTCTGTTCTTATTAGCTCCGCAACCTCGCAGACATATGCTCACCTCTCCGGGCCTCAGTGTCTCCATCTGTCCCTGGGAATGTCAACATTTCCTATTTGTACAGAAGGCAAAGCAGCAATGAAAAGTGTGGGCTCTGGAGTTAGGATAACCTGGTTCGACTCTGCCACTTGCAATCTACATGGCCTGAGAAAGTTCTCTATCACTGTCCTGGGCCCCACCCGTAGCGCTGCTGGCTAAAGCTGACCCATGGCAGGGCTTAGCTGAACCTCAGACCTGGGACTAGGGGGTTTCAAGAGGGCTCCTTGGAGAGGTGACCCGGGGACTGGCAGGGTTTGCTG